GTCTCGCCCTCTCCACCCCGCCCCCCCCCCCCCCCAGCCCGCTGGTCTCTCCCCAGCGCGCTGCGGCTTCTCCAGCTTTGGCCGCCCGCCGCCTGACGCTCCGCCGTGGCCCCTCGCCCGCCTGCCTCTGGCGTGGCTCCGGTGGCCCCACCGCGCGCCAGTCTCTTCGCCCGCCTCCCCGGCGCGGCGTCGCCGTGCTGCTGCCCAACCCCGCTCCGCCGCCTCCGGCCCCGCCTGCCCGCTGCCCCGCCGCCCCCGCGCCATTTCCTTTCCCTTCCGATGCTGCGCGCCCCGCGAAGTGCGCCCAACGCGCTAGCGAGTCGCCGCGCCGCTGCGACCGAAAAGTGTATGTGCGTGTATGTGTATGTGGGCATGTGTGTATATGTATGTGTGAGTGCACGTGGGGATGCATGTGTGCGCGTATGTGTGTGATGTGTGGATATGTGCGATGTGTGTGTGTGTGATGTGTGTGTGATGTATGTGTGCGTCATGTATGTTTGTGCGTGCATGTGTACGTGTGCGCGTTTGTGTGAGCGTATGTGCGCGTGCGCGTGTGCGTGTGCGTGCGCGTGTGCGTTTGCGTGTGCGTGCGTGTGCGCGTGTATGCGTGTCTGTGCGCGTGTGTGTTTATGTGTCTGTGTGCGTCTGCGTGTGCGTGTGCGTGTGCGTGTGTGCACTTGTGTGTGCGTGCGTGCGTGCGTGTGCGTGCGTGCGTGCGTGTGTGTGCGTGTGTGCATGTGTTGGTTTGTGTTGTGTGCGCGTCTTTTCTGCAGAGTACGACTGCTGCATGTTCTCTGTTGCAGTTTAGGGGCTGCGCCCTAGGTCATACACAGCATTCGTGTACTTGCTGTATGTTGATACAAGCCCGCCGCTCTGCGGTTGATCGGGAGTTTCTGCACACAGAGGAAGAGGAGTGCGCTTCTCGGCGAGAAGAAAATGATCGAGATGATGGTGAGCGTGAGGGTCAGGAGGGCGAGGCTCGCGAGAGGATCAGGAGAGTGAGGGCCCCGCGGGTGAGGATCAGGCGAGCGTGGAGCAGGAGGGTGAGAATGTGGAAAAGGAGGGCCAAGAGAGCGAGGATGGCGAGAATGAAAATCAGGAGGGTGAGGATCGGACGGGCGTGGCGCCCCCCGCTGCCATGCTGGCAATCTCCACGTCGTCCTCCTCCTCCTCCTCCTCCTCCTCCTCCTCCTCCTCCTCCTCTCCCTCCTGCTCCTCCTCCTCCTCCTCCTCCTCCCTCCTCCTCCTCCTCCTCTCCTCCTCCTCGCCTCCTCCTCCTCCTCCTCCTCCCCCTCCCTCCTCCTCCTCCTCCTCCTCCTCCTCCTCCTCCTCCTCCTCCTCCTCCTCCTCCTCATCCTCCTCCTCCTCCTCCTCCTCCTCCTCCTCCTCCTCCTCCTCCTCCTCCTCTGCCTCCACCAACTTTCCTCGTCCTCCTCCACCTCGTCCTCCTCCTCCCCCTCCTCCTTTTCCTCCTCGTCCTTCTCCTACCCCCCAGGAATTTCCCCGATCTCTCCGGAAACGGATCAGGGGGCCTCTCAGCGCTTGCTTGGGGAGGCTTCGGGGGCGGTTTCCTGAGGATGCCCCACACGAGGGCGCACGCTTGGAATTCCTCGCCAAATTTCCCCAATCTCGCCGGATTTCCCAAATCTCGCCGGAAATGGAAGCTTCATTGGGGAGTCTCTGGGGGCCTGCTTTTCTGAGCATGACACACACGCGAAGGCGCCGGTTTGGTTTCATCGTCGGACTCGCCGGATTTCCCGGGACTCGCCGGAAACGAAACAGAAGAGGCTCTGAGGGCGTCCTTGGCGAGGTTCCAAGGCCAGTGTTTTTTTGCATGTCCCACGCGCGGGCGCCTGTTTGGAATTCGTCGCCAGGTTCGCTAGATTCCCCCGATATTGCCGGAAACAAAACAGAGGGCCCTCTGAGGGCCTCCTTGGGGAAGGTTTCGGAGCCGGTATTTCTGAGGATGTCCTACGCGAGAACGTTGGTTAGGAATTCGCCGCCGGATTCATTGGATTCCCCTCATTTCGCCGGAAACGAAAGAAAAGGACCTCTGAGGGCCTTTTCGGGGAGGCTCCAGGGGCCGGTTTTTTCTGAGGATGTCCCACGCGAAAGCGCCAATTTGGAATTTGTTGGCTGGGTGTTCTGGGAATGTCCCACGCGACAGCACCGGTTTGGAATTCGTCGCCGGATTTTGCATGAAACGGAACAGGAGGGCCTCTGAGAGGCTCGCTGGGGACGCTCTTGCGGCCGTTTTTCTGAGGATGTTCCACGCGAGGGCACCCGTTTGGAATTCGTCGCCGGAATCACCGGATTCGCCAGATTTTTCCGGACGTCGCCTGACGGAACAGGAGAGCCTATGATAACCTCGTTGGGTAAGCTCTGGGGGGCCGTTTATCTGAGGATGTTCCACGCGAGGGCGCCAGTTTGGAATTCGTCGTCGTCTTCGCCGGATTTGCCCGATTCACCATATATATATATATATATATATATATATATA